AATAAAGAGGTATGGAAAGGCATTTATTGCATAAAATATTGTATTTTAATTAGTTCCTGAAAATTTCGTTTTTAAAAACCAATTTTTGTTGAAGTTGTTTAGGAAAAAGTAACTACATGCATTTTAGCGACATAAGGTTTAAAGGGCCTGCCAGTACAGGGGTGGGATTTAAATACCCTTCGCGCCAGTCAAAGAGTTAAGACTGCAGGAAAGCGAGTTACTGAATCATAATGTACAACGAAGGTTCTCACAAGGGCGACTGAAGAACAGGGTCTTTTGCGATGTGACAACATGCAGTCTGCTAGTTTGCCAACATTTTGGAACAACATAGTGCCTCCATCTTCAGTATTATACCAATTATAGCAAGCAATTATAAGGAACCAATCTATGCACACTCTGCTTCTTGCTTGTTGCTTGCTTCCCTTACTTTCTGACCATCAAGATGGTCAAGATCAAGACTACATGGCATCACATCACAAAATGTATATTAATTATGCTTCAAGTAGTGCACAGCGTCTAACAAAATGGCAGTGCAATGAACTAACAACTGACACAAAACTTTCCAGAATCGTTAAAATACCTTCCTCAGCATGGGCAATTTTATAATATAATCTTGTAACCTGGGACACATCATCAGGTAAATGAAAGAAGGGTCTAATACACTAGGATATTAAAAATTACAACTAATAAACAATGGACCATTGAAGCCAGTAATAAATGGATAGTATTAAAGCAGGAAACCTATCTGTAATAAGCTGATTTCAGAGAGAGCCACTCCTAACTACAGGAACTACAAATAAAGCTTAGAATGGAATCAGCAGAAGAAACGGTAAAGTTTGGTGGTCTCTTACACTAAAGGATGATGTGGTAAGCTGAGTGCAAAAAATTAGCTGAAGGGATAAAAAGTGTGCAGAAAAATTGGTTATAGCATTTCTTTCTATACTAACCAGACTGACATGACTTTCTCATGAAGGATTCCTTTCTGCATGGCTCACAAAATTTACCTTCATAGAAACTAAGAAGCTTTATACAAATATGTAATGCCTAACCTCGCTGAAGCAATTTTAATTACCTGCATGCTGAGACTGTCCCGCTGTCCCTCCAGAGCAAGAAACTCTCTCTTTAGCTCCTGGATGATTTCCCTCTCAATCTCTACCTTCTGCTGCCCCAATTGCTTCTCCTTCTTCACTGCAACTTCCAGGTTCTCTGCCTTCTGCTTTTCCTTTTGCAATTCCAGCTTCAATTTTTCACATAGCTCCTGCTCTGACTCCAATTTAGCCTGAAGTATAACACACAGACATTTACAGGGTTTACAAAATTCATGGTTTTTGAGGGTGCATGTAGGGTCTTTCAAAAAAAGATGCTCCAGATCACAAAGGACCTGTCTACCTAAAATCTTATCTTTATGATAAAACACATAAAGAAACAGTTCAAGTTTAGTGCACAAAAACTGTCACATAATAATATTGTGACATGTTGCACAAAGCCGAGCCCCACCCCCCACCAGCAGTGACGCGGCGGGTAAGTCAGCGCTCTCCTCCCCCCTCCTCCCCACGGTAACGTAGTGCTCCCGGCCAGCCCTCCGCGGTGACGTAACGCGCACCGCTACGTACCCGTAATCAACGTCCTACTGTGACGTGGCACTCATTACGCAACCGGCAAGCACTGCAGCTATATAAGTAAGCTGCACAGCTGGTACCAGTCAGTTCTAATGTGGCTACCAGCGAGTTCTACTGTAGCAGTCGGCGACTTCAGTTGTACTGTACAGCCGCCGAGTTATAACGTGGCCATCGCCGAAGATAGTTCCGAGCAAGCTTACGAGAGCGTGTTATCAGCAGTTCTCCAGTCAGCGGACTATAGTTGGAGTATAGCAGCCGTCGCGGTAAGAAGATCCGGACGTGTGTG